TGGCCTCTGCTCGGCTTATCATCAGCTCGTCGCTTGGACGACTGAAAGTCCTCTGACAGTATAAAGCTGGCCGACCTGTCATTCACCTCGTTCCACGTCTTCGGTGGGTTTTCAAACAGGTCGTCGAGGAACCGGCCATGCTTCAACCCATGCAACATGGCGGACAAGCAGATCGTGTCTGGGACATTATCAATGTCCAATGTGGCTTTGTTGAACCGCTGCATGTAATCCCTCAAAGACTCCCCTTCCTTCTGATTAACTTGCATCAGCTCAGTTGCTGTGCGCTTAATCTCCCTTTGGCTCGCGAATTTGTTAGAAAACAGCTTGGCGAGCTGGGAAAACGAATATATTGAATGTCTGGGGAGTTTGTGATACCACCTCCTGGCTGTTGATTTTAGTGTTGCCGGGAACACTTTGCACATCATGACGTCATTGGCGTTTTGGATTCTCATGATGGCTTGATAGGTGTGCAGATGTTCATCAGGGTCACCCGTGCCATCATATGTCTCCAGGTGGGGAATTTTGAATCCCTCTTGATACGGCTCTGCCGTAATGGATAAGTTTAGTGGTGCACTATCCAAATCCAAGGTCTGTTGGTGCGACCTGGGACTTTTCAGCTCGTCAATAGACTTTTGTACGTCCTGCAGCTGTCTTTCAAGATCTGCGTTCTTTCTCATCAGTTCTTCGCTATGTTTAGACGAGCTGGGCTCGATATTCAACTTCCCACTTCCCCTTGGCCTGGTCGGGACTACTACATTGCTTAGAGCGGGGGAGTTTCTAGTTGCAACAACCGCAGCTGGTTGTGCATCCCTGTTCAGCAAAGGAATCAGGGGGTCATCAGGAATTAGGCGGGCAAGGATTTTTCCCATTGCCATTTCGAGAACTCTAGTTCTCTCTTCGAGCTCGGTTGTCCGAGCAGGTTCCGTTGACCTTTCAGGTTGTTCATGCTGTGAATTGTGTGGTCTAGAAGGTCTTCGTCTTGTTCCTGTTGGAACTTGGACCTGTTCAGGCTGGGTTGCATACCCAATTGGTGTTCTTTCATCATCCGTCTCACTTAGGTGATCCTGTTCGGCTCCTCCTACAAAAAGATTTCTTGGCATTGGCCTAAAGTCATTAAAGCCGGGCTCGGACACGTGAGCATTCTCCTGTTCGTCCATTTCATTTCTTGGAGGGCGACCTCCTGTAAAGGTACGGACCATTTTGTCTTTCAGCAGGTTTAGTCACACAACTTCTTGTTCGAGTTTCCCACAGACGGCGCCAATGTTTCGGCAGCTTCACAATCCAACACTGTTGAAGTCCTTAGCTGCTTCCACACCTGAAAATCCTGAGATTGTTTCCTCGGGGAAAACACTCCAACGCTCAAGTCAGCAATACTCAATGGTTTAGAGAGAGAAGCTCTCAAGGAGTAATTGCAGAGAGAGAAGCGTAGAGATTAATTACCTTCATCGGAGGTAGTTGGGGGGTATTTATAGCCCCTTGGCACTGACATACATCTGCACGTGTAAGCA